TGCTGAGAGAGGATGTTAAAAATAAGTTGTTTTATGAAATTCCACTGTGGGTTGTAAATTGGAGTATGGTGGTGATGGTGGTTGTTCTATGGGTTGGGGGGGTTAGTTGTGGAAAATTTCAGTCTGGTTTAGATGGCATCCAGAATAAGCATTGCTTATGCACTTAACAACTTTTTCTTGCTTTGTTCTCCTCTTGCCACTCACAAAAGATGGTAAATTCAGGGCTCTAAAGATGGAGTTCTCCCTTCCCCCATCCACTTATGCTACCATGGCGATTCGAGAAGTTTTGAAAATGGACACAAGCATAAAAAACCAGACACAACTGAATACTACCTGGTTGCGCTGAATGAACTGCAAAAGTGACTTAGATTTTAACATATATAAAGTGTTTTCCTATTTACATGTTCTGTACAAATCTTTAAAGACTGGTAGTAAGAGATTTGTATTTTTTTAAGTTTTTATTAGTGCTAGCATTTAACTTCAGTAGTCATTTGCAAGATGGTGGTTGTTATATAATTTAGATCTTAGTGACTGGTGGTTTTTAATGAATAAGTTGCTTGAGCTGTAATGTGGGTGCATCTTTAAGAAATGGGCTTACAATAATTTCAGACCTGGAAGAATGTTTAGCTTGCCTTTTTTTTTTGGCAAGCACTGAATGTTTTAATGAGTTCAGCACACCGTGAAGTCTCTTCAAATACAGCAAATTACAGCTTAGGAAAATGGGTTACAACAAAATTAAGATATCAGTGAACATTTATATCGCAGAAGTTTTTTCTGGTACCATTTCCATCGATGGGGTAGAGGATTCTGTTAGCAAGGCTTTTTATGTGCTGTAAAGATGTACAGCTGTTTTAATTAGTTGGACTTTTCATTGAGAAAATACTTGTGTGTATTTTCCAGCTTTACTCATACCTGTACCAAAGAACAGGTACTGAAAATAAATTAACCTGAAAGGCTAAGCATGTATCAGTAAGTCCTTCCTTTACACATCTTGTCTGTCCATTGCTGGCAGGGGGGAAGATGAGCTTCTGGTAGAAAAAAAAAATAATAATCATACAGCTGTTCTAAAAAGGCATTGCATTTTCAGCGTCCTCCTATAATATGAAGCTTGTGTTGCTAAAATAATATAAATAGAAGATGGTCACTGCTGTTGCACTAGAGAAGAGTGAGAGGAGACCTTATTAATGTTTATAAATATCTAAAGGGCTGGTGGCAAGAGGATGGGCCCAGACGTTTTCAGTGGTGACCAGCGACAGGACAAGGGGCAACGGGCACAAGCTGGAACACAGGAGGCTCCGCTTAAACATGAGGAAAAACGTCTTTACTGTGAGGGGGACGGAGCCCTGGGACAGGCTGCCCTGAGAGGCTGTGGAGTCTCCTTCTCTGGAGATGTTCAGAACCCGCCTGGACGCGTTCCTGTGCGACCTGGTG